CCGGGCCTCCCCGGAGCCGCAGCTGTTGTCTGCCGAGCGTCTTCCATTAGGCTTTTGAAAAAATGTTTCTCGTGGGCCCCGTGGCGAAAGAAAATGGGGCGTGCGGGCGAGTCCGCGCCAGCCGAGGAAGGACCGCAGGGGTCAGAACGCAGGTCCGCCAGCCGAGGAAGGACCGCAGGGGTCAGAACGCAGGTCCGCCAGCCGAGGAAGGACCGCAGGGCTCAGAACGCAGGTCCGCCGTCCGGACACGGGGTGGGTTTAGCTTCCCCGGGATGCCCAGCGGTGCGCTCTCCAGTTTGGAGTTCTTAGCCTGGAGCCCAGGAGCACTGCCAGCATCAGTACACGGTTTAGGTTCATCCGTTTATCTGCCAGACACTTAACCCCCCAGTCCTAGCTTTCCACTTTAGCCAGTCAGTTTTTCTGCCCCCATTACTGGAATCCTCACTCAAATATATTCATGCGCGCCCGTCCCCTTTTTTGCAACGAAGTGTAAGATATAGACTCTTGTCTCTGAAGATTGGACGAAGGACCTGGTAGGTACCACGGAGCTATGGCAGCCCTGTATACACTTAAAACATATCTAAATGGCTACTGATCAGCAAAAAGAAACTAGTAGCGTTTATAGAGTATTGTGTAACGTATAAAGGGATACCCCATCACAAAAGCAAATATTTTATGAATTACCACCCCATCACAAAGTAAGTATTTTATAAATTACCAAATGACCAAAATAATTTTCAAATACTCTTAGTAGTTATATGTATAATGCACTTAATTACTGCAAGCTTTGACTTTATTAGGATCCGAAGAAAAAGCTTTACATTGGTTCAAAAAATATTCATTGAGAACCAACCTATCATATACCAGGAACTGTTTTTAAAAACCCACACCTCTACGTCTAAGGATCTGACATTTTAATAAATGTGCTCCCTAAGCAATTACTCTAAAGTCTTGGTACTCCTTATAGTATCTTTTCTCCAGTTTTTTAAAAAAATATTATTTTTATTTTATGTGTACGAATGTATCGCCTGCAAGTATGTGAGTGCACCCGTGTCGTGCAGTGCTGCAGAGGTCAGAAGAGGGCTTTGAATTCCCCTGGAATTTGGGGTTAAGGATGGTTTGTAGCTGCAATGTGGGTGCTTGGAATTGAACCCGGGTCCTCTGCAAGAGCAGTCAGTGCTCTTAACCGCTGAGCCATCTCTCCAGCCCCTTCTCCAGTTTTTGATAGGTACTTTTTTGTAGAAATTCACCACCTTAGTAACTGTCATTTTAAATGTTCCCCTAACACATTTTATAGTTACAACTTTTATCATAGTTGAATTAAGTATGCTACTTTACTTTCTTCTCTCATCCTAGGATTCTCTGCCATATTGTAGTTCCAACACATATTTGCTCAAACATATTCAGTCAGTTCTTAAAATGTTTTAATTCCTTTAAAGTCTTATTTTCCTATATCTGAGACATTTTATTATTGGTATGAACTTTCTTCTAATTTATATAGATGACTTCAGAGTGGTTCTACTTCTGCTTTCTTCCTTGTTTTAGAATATTTTATTTCCTGCTTTTTCTCTGCTGAAGACATTCAAAAACATTTCCCAGATGAATTATCATTGTCAAGATACATATGTTTTTTCAATAGCCAATACTTCCATATCCCTTAGTCAAACAAACAATATTAAATATCAATATTCTCTGAGAGTCTGTGGCTGGCCTTACTGCACAGAAAAGTAGAAGACAAAGTCCTTTTCTGTTTGGTTGATTTCAATTCAGATGGAGAAACAATGATGTGTACATAACTCTTTTGCAAGGCAAATGTATAAGAAACTTAACAGTAATTTTGATAATAAATAGCAAAAATTCAGAGGATGTAAAGAGTGTTTTGTATTATCTTCAGCCTTCAAAACATCTTATTCCGTACTAGACTTGTAAACCACATAGAGCATCATGGGAATCTCATATATCACCTCTCAGATCATGTCCTGGTTTGCCTCAGAGACTAGAAGAGGGGTCCTGAGGTCAGATCACTTGAAACCAGGTTTATTTAGCATCTTAGCAACTACTTATTATAAAAGATGTTATTATTCATTAATCACCTTGACATCTGCTTTTATCATGGGAAGTCCTAGAGAATGTTAGGACAGGTATTCCCAGTGATATTGTATATGCCTAAAACTTCTTTGTTTCAGGCACTTTGGAGCATGTGAACACGCTGAGCCTTGATGAGTTCCAGTATGTGGTATATTATGCAGAGCATTCAGAGCAAATACTCTCTCTCAGAGCGCTTAATCCGAACAATCGCTGCCATCCGTTCCTTCCCACATGATAACGTAGAGGACCTCATCAGAGGGGTGAGTATGCCTTTTTTTTTTTTTTTTTTGGTCGTTTTGAGACAGGGTCTCCCTGTAGCCCCAGCCGTCCTCGAACTCACTATGTGGACCAGGCTGGCCTTGAACTCACAGAGATCTGCCTGCCTCTGCCTCCCGAGTGCTGGGACTACAGGCATGTGCCACCACGCCCAGCTGAGTATGCTGTTCTTGATGGAATGGACCTTTGGGAGGGGAAGTGGGAGAATCCCTGCTAAATCCCAGTAGATTATAGATGTGCAGCTTTGTTTTGGCAAGGAGTTTATATTCTTTAATGTATTAACGTCATCATTCAAATACATTTTCCCTGTGTTTGTTTCATTTCCCTTCTCCCTTTCATTTTTTGTATCTGTTTTTCCTCATAAAATATATTCTAGATAATCCTCATCTCTTGTTTTTTGTAAAATCTTCCTGGATATGGCGCGCACACACACACACACACACACACACACACACACACACACACACACACACACAACCATCCAGCTCAACACCTTCTGACATGTTTTAGTAAGGGCAGTAGGAGGCAAGCAAAGCAGAGGTCAGTATTCAAATCCTTGTGAGGTTATGATGATTACATGGAAAGATTTCACTTTCCTGCTATGGTTACAACAGCTACCAGTTGTGGTCCCCTAAAATGTGTAATTACAGATTAAGAAAACACTTTAGGGCTGGAGAGATGGCTCAGCAGTTAAGAGCACTGACTGCTCTTGCAGAGGACTGAGTTCGATTCCCAGCACCCACATGGCGGCTACGAACCGTCCTTAACTCCAGTTCCAGGGGAATCCAAAGCCCTCTTCTGACCTCCGAGGCATTGCACAACATGGGTGCACTCACATACATGCAGGCAATACACTCATACACATAAAATAAAAATAACAAAATTTAAAAAAACACTTTATCTGATAGCTAGTAACTGTTGTTCAGTAATTTTGTTGCATGACTAGTATCCTAGAAAGTTTTTTTAGTACCCTATTCCTCTTAAGGAGACGTCGCAGAGTAATCTTTTAGAAAATGCACCCATATAGTCATCTGTATAGCCTAAACAACTTTAGGATCTTTTACAGCCAGAGGCTCCATAATTGCTTCAGGTTATATGGCCCAATTGTAGAAGGAATGAATGCAAGCACTAGCTTGTTCTCTGCTGAGTGGGGTCAGAAGAGTCAGCAGTAGGCACTTGTCACATTCTAATTCTAGCTCTGCTGCTGAGTCATTCAGTGGCTTTGGTCTGAATGGCATCGTTATCTCCCTTTATGAGATTAGGAATAGACGCACTAGATTTAGAATGTGGGGGACAGAGCATGCCAAGACCGAAAATGTTTATAAACGAACATTAAGATGGCCTATCATTGTCAGGGTCATTTGTTGAATGGCGAAAAGAGCCTAATAGTTATGGCCTCAGTCTGACAGACTCATTTTCATGACTTAACAGCATGGTGGCCAGAGCTTTCCTGCCTAATGATGTTCCCACAGCTTTCACACATAAAGTCATGTCCTCAAGGATGTCCAAGTGGCCATTTTGTCAGGCTACCATGTGAAGAAACGTAATAACTTGACCTGGGGAACTGACAGTTCCTTCTCTTGAGATCTGTAGTTCAAGTCTCTTCCTCAAAACTAGTTCAGAGTCTCACCCTGAATTCCTCCTTCCTACAGGGAGCAGATGTGAACTGCACTCACGGGACACTGAAGCCCCTGCACTGTGCCTGCATGGTGTCAGATGCTGACTGTGTGGAGTTACTCCTGGAAAAAGGAGCAGAGGTAACTGACATCTCCACAGTCATGATTCATCAAAACCTGAGTTTGTTTCTTAGGAATTCTCTTTGCGCTGGGCGTGGTGGCGCACACCTGTAATCCCAGCACTCGGGAGGCAGAGACAGGAGGATCTCTGTGAGTTAGAAGCCAGCCTGGCTACAAAGTGAGTTCCAGGACAGCTGGGGCTACAGGGAGACCCTGTCTCAAAAAGACCAAAAACAAAAAAATTAAAAAGGAATTCTCTTTGTACCTTCAGTGTTCCTTTGCAACTCATTGTGACGACATAGCTGATATTAAAGCAAAATATAACAGCAGATTCATAAAACGATTCTCAGGAGTTCATTCCCCTGCCCTTTTTCCTTCTTTTAAGCTTCCTGTGGCTCCAAGAAGTTGTTTTATTTCTCTTTCCTTCCCAGTTTCCCTCTTAGGGGATGTTCACATTTCCATTGGATCCTTTCCTGTTGACTGTTCAGTTAGCATAAACAGAGACTTCTCAACTCTGATGAAATCTAAACCATTTAATACGTACAATTAGACATGGAGCTCTGCAAGATGATTTTCCTAAGACAGTGTCTTCCTCAAGAACGGCTCCTTGTGTTACCTCCCTACTAATTCTTTTCAGTATAGTTTGTTCTTACCTTCTTTCTACTGCGTCTTACACTAAAAACCAAAACTTAGTTTTGAAAGTAGACCCTTGGGGGCCTGGAGAGATGGATCAGTGGTTAAAAGCTCTGACTGCTCTTGCAGAGGACCTGGGTTCCAATCCTGTCACCCACAGGATGGCTAACAACCATCTGTAACTCTAGTTCCAGGGGAATCCAGCGGCCTCTTCTGACCTCCACAGGCACTGCATGACATGGGTACCCTTATATCCATGCAGGCAATATACTCATACATATAAAAATAAAAATAAAATAATTAAAGTAGACCCTTGGTTTTATATGAAGCAACATAATGTAAAAAAAAATGATTAAAAGAACAGACTCTGAGCCAGGCAGGTGCTCCACACCTATAATCCCAGCACTAGGAGGGGATGAGGCAGGAGGATTGCCAAGTTGGAGGCCAGCCTGAATGTTTAACAAGACCCTGTCTGAAACTGACCATTCTTCTTCTCCCCTAAAAAGACTTTGAAACCAGATTTCACAGACCCAATTCCAGCTCATTTCCTTCCAGTTGTGTGACTATGAATAGATCCTTAATCCGTTCCTTTGCCTGTTTCTCCATCTGTAGAAAGAGCATGGTGATGGTACCTCATGCCATAAGATTGTGTTTGGATTGCCAGCTTATGGCAGTTGCTAAGTTAAGTGCATGTCAAATGGATACACTAGCAGCTTGACTGTTGTGAGTAGTCTTAAAGATAGTATATGCTGAGGTGCTAATCTGAATCAGTGTGCAGTCCCAAACACACTGGACAGTAAGTCCAGGAAGCGAGCCCCACTGTCATCTCTCTGCAGTCATGCTGTTCTCTACTTGGCACTAGCTCGTCTATAATTTAGTGATTAAACCTTTTGTGAGTGACCCTAAAGTGAAAACCAAGTTATATCCCGAGTGATTCATAGCAGTGGTCAAAGTGAAAATGCGGCTTAGCAGAATAAAAAGGTTAATGCAGTGAAATGCTTTGTTTTGCTGCGTTTATGACAGTGATCTTGTCACTTTTAAGTTGGGAATTTGAGGTAATGAGACTTTCAGGACTGGAAGTTTGTAGTTTGTGCTCGTCCCTCTTCATGTATTCGTTTGAGTCATCTCAAAAAATCCACAGCATATTTTTGCAAAGGTCTAATTTAGTTTCACATTTTGAATGTCTCTGTAGGGTTAAAGAACATAACAAAACTACAAGGACAGAGTGTGCCCCCCCCCCCCGCCTGGTTTCCATTTATCACAGGATACAGGAAGAAGATAAGTAAAGTACTCCAGAATTTTTCAGAGTAGTTGGAAAGACTTGGGTTCATCTTTTGCTGTTCTACTCCTTACTCAGTGGTAGAGATTCTAATGCAAGAGGTGGACACTGCAGCAAAATACTCAACAGAGCCTGCGGCTAGTTAATGTAATAGCTGGCTATATTCAGACAGCGCCCATGTGCCCCTAAGCTCCTGCTATCTCATCTTCATCACCGAGACTTCTGGAGACTTGCTTACTGACCTTACTCAGAGCACTGCATGACCAAGGTAGTGGGCAAATACATGCAGGGCTCTTTACAGTCTTTTCTTCCTTCCAGTAACCTGCCCGCTGTAATACACTTCCTTTCTACAGGTGAATGCCCTGGATGGTTACAACCGAACAGCCCTCCACTATGCAGCAGAAAAAGATGAGGCTTGTGTGGAAGTCCTGTTGGAATATGGCGCAAACCCCAATGCACTGGATGGCAACAGAGATACCCCTCTTCACTGGGCAGCCTTTAAGAACAATGCTGAGTGTGTGCGGGCTCTTCTGGAGAGTGGGGCCTCTGTAAATGCCCTGGATTACAACAATGATACACCTCTCAGCTGGGCTGCCATGAAGGGAAATCTTGAGAGCGTCAGCATCCTTCTTGATTATGGTGCTGAGGTCAGAGTCATCAACTTAAAAGGCCAGACACCCATCTCTCGCCTGGTGGCTCTGCTAGTCAGAGGACTTGGAACAGAGAAAGAGGACTCCTGCTTTGAGCTCCTCCATAGAGCTGTTGGACACTTCGAATTAAGGAAAAACGGCACCATGCCACGAGAAGTAGCCAAAGACCAGCAGCTGTGTGAAAAACTGACTGTGTTGTGCTCAGCACCAGGGACTCTGAAAACACTCTCCCGCTATGCTGTACGCCGTAGCCTGGGTCTCCAGTATCTACCGGATGCAGTGAAGGGTCTTCCACTGCCCGCTTCTTTGAAGGAATACCTGTTACTTGTAGAATAGCCTGGAGGAGACATTTGCGCCATCACGTGGGCAGCTCTGGGTGAGGTTTTCACTGCAGTACTGTCTCTTTGTCACGGAACACAAAAAAGAACTTGTTCCTTTTGTGTGGTTTATACATTTTGAGGCAACATGTCGCAGCAGTAACACACACCACCTCCCCTCTCATACCAAACAACCAAAGAAATCCCTCACTTTTGTTTGAGCTTCTGTTGCTTAGTTGGCTTTTTACAGTGCACCCTGCAAAAGGGCTCCCTCATCCTCCCCTTTAGGACACTTTAATGTCAACAGTGCAACTAAATTTCCCTAGGAGGATGGAAAGTGTTGAGAGTGTGTGGTTTTCCTTTGGGGACATGATTTAGTATTGCAGAAGACCTTCTAGAAAGCTCTTTAGTTCATCTGTGAAGAAGTTTAAGAATAATCACAATTCCAGTTAACAAGAATTATGTCCCAAGGATGAACACTCGAACCTGACTCAAAGTGGGCGTTCAGAAAGGACTGGTTCCTCTCTCCTCACCAAAAGAGTTAAGTCTTTGCTTTTTTTTCTCCCTGAAAGCCAATTTGCACTAATGGGCTTAACATGGATTTCCTGCGCCTTGGGTTGAGGTGTTTGCTCCAGCAGGGGAGATGGGGCTCCTTTCCCTTGGGTCCTCATTCCCTATGGAAAGGGCTCAACTAGGCGTTTGGACTTGTTTTTCTTTCCACGGTCTTGGAAACTTTGCTCTTTACTGAGCCATAGCAGATGCTGGTAGGAGACGGAGCTGAGAAGGGAATGGAGAATGGAGAAGAGCTGCTTTTGAGCTGGCCACCTACCCATAAGACCTAGTCGGTGAGTAAGGTTTTCCTTTTGATGCTCTTAAACTAGATAAAGTTGATACTGATCTTAAATGATCTGTATGCAAGTTTGAAAAGCACTTTTTTAAAAAAAAGCTGGCTGGAAACTACACACACAAAGTGAATAGTCTCCTCTGACAGCGAACTTGGAACTCGAGTACGTCTGCTTTTGTCCTTCCTGCTGTTGCTGGCTTTTGCCCATTTAAAAAGAATAAATAAATAGCTCTAAAACCAAGCTTGGCAGCTTCTACTGTTTCTACTTTTCTCCACTTCCTCCTCTGCGCATGCATTTCAGATGTTTACTGCGTGGTTCTTCGTGCGCCTTTCCTTCCTTCTCCCCTCAGCAAGTGATTGTGGGCAGGAGTGATCAGGAACGTTCCGCCACGGTCTACAGCATCCCTCCCCTTCCTCATATCCCCTTACTCCAGATTTGGAGTCTCTGCTTTTCCCTTCAACCTCAGCTTCAGGGGGTAGCACAGTGGTACAGCCCCCTGCCTGGCTTGTACAGGACCCTAGGTTTAATTGCCAGCACCACCGACAAAGAAAAAAAAAGGTTGACGAGATGGCTCATCAGGTAAGAGACCTGGCTGCTCTTGCATAGGACCTGGGTTCAGCCCTCAACAACAGCAACAAAAAAGAAGAAAAAAATGCTGCACATTTAATCACTGAGGATGCTTTTAGGAAACACTGATGCACGGTCTCGCTGTGCACTAGCTGCTCAGGTCTCTCGGGTAGGGCTGCGCACTGTGTTTCTTCAGACACTCCTGAGGTGCAGCTAGGAATGAGATTCACTTTAGGCAGTGGTTCTCAAGCCCAGCAACTATTAAACCCATGTAGAGAATTTTTTGTTGTTTCTCTGAAACAGGGTCTCTCTGTAACCCCAGCTGGCCTAGAATTCATAGACCAGGCCTGCCTCTGTCTCCAGAGTGCTGGAGTTAAAGGCATGGGCCACTGTTTAAATGCTAAAGCCCAGGTTCCGCCCCCAAAGATTGGATGAATTACTCAAAAACGGAGCTAGGCACACTACTGCCGGGCTAGGTCATAAACTACTGCAGACGCAACTCCATTTCCCATCACAGACACTGATGGTAACTTGGAAAAAAAAAAAAAAAACCATTTTGTCCACGTGGAAACAGACATTACCAGTGAAGTCAGTCATTTCAGCGTCACAGTGGTCACTAATAAACTGCACCATCACTCCATCAGTTCCAACACAGCCTCACGTATCTCTTTAACTTTAGGGAAAAGAAATGCACTTCACAGATTTTCTTTTTTAAGTGGTCTTTACTATGTTTTCAGATCATTTTAATCCTAAAATTTTATTCTTTACAAATTGGAATTTTTCTTCTGTGAATAACTTTGTCCTATCTTCTTTCTCCCTTTTCATTTTCCAAAGAGTTTTAACATTAAAAATGGGAAAGGGGCTGGAGAGATGGCTCAGCAGTTAAGAGCACTGGCTGCTCTTGCAGAGGACCTGGTTCGGTTCCCAGCACCCACACGGTGACTAACCACCATCTGTAACTCCAGTTCCAGGGGATCCAACACCCTCTTCTGACCTCTGTGGGCATTGCACAACACGGTGCACTTACACATCTGCATGCAAAACTCTCGACACATACATAAAATATTTTTGGAAAATAAAGATGGGAAAGAGCCTCCTAGGGGGTTGGCACTTATGTTCCAATTGAATGCCTGAGCTTTTCACTTCACTTCATAGTCTATATGGATTTTCAGATTTGAGTAGCATGGTGAGAAAAGGCTTAGAGAACCAGAATGGGCTTGAAGATCAGTCTGACTCCTAGTTTTTTAGGTTTGAAGACCTAGGAGACATTACTTAATCACTCAGAGCCAGTGTCCTCATCACTGAAGTGACTCGTCACCACTTATAAAGCTGTTTTTAGAATTCAATGATAGCATGTAAAATGCCTAACAGCACTGGATGTTTATTGTTAATTTCTCTTGCCTTTAAAGAACTTCAAAGAGCTGCTTTAACTCCCAACTCTGGCAAAAGCCTTCCTAGTCACGGTTGAGAACTGTTATAAGGGCATGACAGCAGTATTGCATACAGCCAGACACCCATTGTAATACTGTGACTATCTTTCCTGGCAAGGGAGGAAGCTGTATGGGTTGGGAGGACTGGGCATGTCTGTACTGAGTCACAGTCTGGTCTGCAGAGGCTAATCTTCCCCTCCTGTCACCCTGTGATCCTGAGGCCTGACTGCATGTGGACAGGATACTGAGGATGCAGCAGCTACTACGGACAGAAGACAAAACTGCATCTTTCCAAAGCATGTGTATTCCTCCCAACCCAGCACGGGTCCAGACCCGTGTCTCTATTGTCCAGGCTTCCAAAATGTACATGTCTTTGCCACAGAGTTTCTGTCAGATGGAGTCTGGCTTTCATCCAAGAAAGAGTCGAGAGGAGGAGTTGAAAAGGAAGAATGTGGGGCTGGAAAGATGGCTCAGCAGTTAAGAGCACTGATTGCTCTTGCAGAGGACCCGGGTTCGATTCCCAGCACCCACAGGGTGGCTACGAACCGTCCTTAATTCCAGTTCCAGGGGAATCCGAAGCCCTCTTCTGACCTCCATGGCATTGCATGAAACAGGTGCACTCACATATATGCAGGCAATATACTCATACACATAAAATAAAAATAAAATTTTTAAAAAAGAAAAGAATGCTAAGTTTGGGAGCAGAGATTTTGGGATGCTGGGGAGAAGCAAGCCTAGGTAATAGGCGTATGATCAAGAAGTAAAGCATACCCTCACACTTGGGGAGATAGGAGGATCCTCTTGTCTTCAGAGAATGCCAGAGGGACTAGTGGGAGATGGGGCTGAGAGTTGGTACCCTGTGTTCGAGGACGCAATACACAGCCAAGAGATGCTGCAAAAAAATACTCCAGCAAGCCGAAGTGCTCATGATAATCATGCGCTGTTTTCTCCCAGGTCTGTCTGGGTAGGTCTGGTACATGGAGCTGATAGTACTACACTCCCCTTGTGAGATGAGAACAGGAGAACCAAAAGCACAGTGACCAGTTGGCATTTATTAGTGTAGTTATAGTTTGTCACTGTAGTAAAAGTAGATGAACTAAGATTCTTCGTTATCACAAAGAAATAAATAAAGCTGATTTTTAGGAAAATTCTAACGGAGTAGCTGAAACCTAGCAGTAGCACTAGAGGAATCCAGCCTCTGTGGCAGACGAAGCTGGGGTAGAAGTAATGATAAACTCCCCCAACTCCTGGCCACAGCTGATTGAGGTTTGCAGGTACAAAGTACAAGGAAACCTAATGGGGTGGAAGATGGACTAAAACACTAAGAAATCATGGACTTAGATCTACCCAGGGTGAGCTGACCCATGATCAGATAATGTTTTTCCTCTTGCTTCAAAGAGGTCTAGACAGCAGCTTCCCCAGACCGCTTCCGAGAGATATGCTCCAGGTGGGCGTGGTCAGAGGTGTCCAAATCAATCTCATACTTGGCCAGGATTTTGAGGATGGGCCTCAGCTTCAGCCACCACTGTTCCTTGGGGATTCGGTGCCTACAGAGGAAGGAAGCATTTAGTGATACAATATTACTGTAACCCAGTGAACTTTGACCAAATGTTAATGGGAAGATGTTGGACAAGAGGCTGAATTTAGGGCATGAGCGTCAAATCTAAAGGGGGTGAGACCATCGGTGTCACCTCTAAAAGAAAAGCATTGCAGACAGTGACCCAGCTAAAGAGAGTACAGCTTGAGAGTAGCGGAAGTCCACTCTGGAATGGAGTGCTTACTCAAAATCTGTCTGGTCCTTCAGCTCCGCCACTGGTTGAAAGACCAAGGCCCTCTTACGCATCCCCAGAACACAACCTGAGTCTGGAGTATTGGCAAAGATCCGTCCTGAAATAAAGGATGGTCGTTACTCTCTAAATCGTAGTCAGCCTCTAAAGAGGGACTCACCTTCCTACCCCACCTACCATTACGATAACTCTCTTTGATTTTCCCAGACATCCAGTTCATAGCCTTAGCACCCATCTTAGTGGCAAAATTCCTGTCAAAGGGAGTTGGGCTTCCTCCCTAAGTGGGAAAAATATAAAAATTAGAGGAAAAGACTAACAAAGTAACAGCTATCTAAACATAAGAAAGAATGGATCCTGGATTTATAGGAATCTGGAAGTCTAACCATGAAAGGACACCTGAGAGAGCGCAGGGACCCAAGGTGAGCGGGCCCTTTATCCAGTATAAGGGTAACTAGCTGAAGGAAATAACCAGACAGCTCTCTCTCTCTCTTTCTTAGCTCCACAACTGCCAGGTTCCATTTTAGAATTGGCTACACCTCAATTCTCCTTTTCAGCCTAGCAGCTTTTGACAGTCACTGTGATCAGTGATACAGAGGTATTCTTTGCAGCCCAGTCCAGCTGCTTCAGGTATGACCTCAATACTGTGTCCGTTTTCCTCTGAACTAGGAGAAGGAAATTGGGAAAATGAGAGGAAGGAAGGAAAGGCTGTATACACGTCCAATAACATACATGTTCCCGCAGGAGCTGGTGTGTTCCTGGGAATACTGGAATTCCTTTGTTGGCAGGCAGAAACATCAGTGCTTACAAGACATCAGCTGGGGGTACGTTTGGGACTAGTAGTTCTACCCATGAATGAGGCCTGCCGTGGGTAGGCTGAATGTTAGCAGCAGCAGAAGTCCTTTCCCCTGAAGCTCCAGTTAGTGGAGAGGAGCCCAGCACCAGCAAGTGCCTACACAGGTACCTCAAAGGCTCGTGGTGTGCTAAGAAAAGCATCCAACTGGACTCATTCTAGCTCTAGTCCAAGTTTGATGAATGACCCTTGAACAGTTTTTGCTCCTCTCTGTACCTCACTTTCCTCATCAGTATCAGTGGTTCTCAACTGGAGAGGGCTTTGTCCATAAGGGGACACGTGGCACCGTTTGGAGATGCTTCTGTTAAAATTAAGGATGACAGGGAGGTACTTCTGGCTTCTAGCAGGCAGAGTCCAGGGATGCTGCTAAGCTCCTACAATGCACAGAACAGCCACTCATAGCAAAAAATACCTATCCCCCAATGGCAATGATGTCAAAGCTGAGGAACTGTGTCCTAAACGAAGAAGATTAACTTCACTTCTGAGGTCATTTCCAAGATAGAGATATTGTGATGTTATGACCCAACCTTGTTCCAGTGTCCCTGAGCCTCTAGGAGATTGGAGAAGGCCAGTGGGAGGCTATATGGCTGCCAGGGGTTATGGTTACCTGACGAAGGACATGTGTGGGCTGTCTTCCCTACCTGCTGCATGTGGCCGAGCACATTCTTCCTGCTGTCGAAGATGCCCTTGCCCTCCTCAGAGTACAGGTTGAAGATGAAGTCAGTGGTGTAGTTCTCATTGCACTTCTCATTCCTGCCAGACCAAAAGCCTGTGACTCCAACAAGCAGGCCTGGGAGTGACTCCGACAACCTGGGGCTCCAGCTGTCTCCTCATCCCCAATTTTTACCTTTGTAGACTGTTCTTTAATTTCCTACCTCTTCCCAAGGATTAGAGGATAGGTTCCTCCACCCCCCTCTATATACAGACTCTTCAGGGTATCCAACCATGGATCCATTCTATGGATTAGGGCCAAAGCCTGACGAGTTCTTTTCCACTTAGGAGCAAATTGTAGAAAAGCTACCTTAACACCAAGCCTCTTTTCACAGTTGTTTTCATCTTTTGCACCAGATGTTCAACATTTGCCTGAAAATGAAACAGTAAACCTAAGCTCGGTGGGTTGGTGAGGGTGGACAAGCAATCTGTCCCTCTGCAACACCAGGACTAAGAGGGAAGCGGGAAGAAGATAACTGTTCAATCATTCACAAGTTTAGCACGGATGGAACTTAGGTAAAACAGAGAGTGAATGTTAGAGAAACCTTAGTGACTGCCCATCGCCCTATCCAGGAGTTTATGACTGCCCTTCCCTCAGAGGACTGACTGCCTACAGCATGGATTTTTAGTCTTAACAGGGGTTGCTTGTATGCAAAGCAGTGACTCAGCTGTCAGGAATGTGTTCCTTCTCTTGAGCCTCAAGTTGGCTTGAAAGTAGACTCCCACACTTGGCAGGGGTTGGCTGGGATCCTGAGCTGGGAGTTTCCTCAGCCTGCTGCTAAGCCTCTACTCTGCAGCTTGCTTTCTCCAGTGAACTTAAAACTGGAAAAATAAGGATCATTTGACCCTCAAGTATGAACCCTACCCCAGGGATAAAGGCGCTCTCTCAAAACTAGAATGACACCAAGGGAAATCTGGAGGGAGAAAGGCTCCCTGATTCCTTAAGGAGGTAAACTACCTGCTCTCTTGGGTGTTTTGAAGTTTTTAAATCTCTCTAAACCTTCCTCACCTGGAATAGGGAGGTATTACCTTTGCATGACTTTTGGGAAGATAAAATATAAAACTTCACAGAAAGAGCTTAAAAGTAAGGCCCAAACCGTAGCTGTGGTCATGTATGTGTGAGGCTGCACTGGAGACCTGCAGGAAGCAGGACTTCGTGGGCTCCATGGACCCATCAGCTCCATCCTCACCTTGAGCTCTAGTTACTGTGGGGGATACTCAGGGGACAGACTGAATAAGGGAGAAACACTGAGCAGGCCTGGTGGACATCTACCTGGAGGTCTCGAATGGTGAAGGGCTCCTCAAAAATATAGGCAGCATCCGCCCCAGCTGCCAGTCCTGCCATGGTGGCCAAATAGCCACAGTAGCCACCCATAGTCTCAATGATAAATACTCGACGCTTGGTGCCCGCTGCTGACTGCTTGATTCGATCACAAGTCTGTAAAGACAATGGGACACAGAAGAGTCAGAGGTCTGATTCTTGGTCCTTCTTCAGCTCTTTTCATTAATTCAACTCCAGAGCTATATCCTTCAAGGCCAGCAAGCTCCCCAGACCTCATCACGATCCTGTATTCAAGAAGGGCACTACACTGTGGAACTTCTCTCCTGGGAAAGAAGTGATACCTATTCTTAATGTTGCTCAGAATAAGGAAATTAAAACGTTTAACCTTAGAAAACAACAAAACCATTTGGTAACATTTGATGTATTTCCAGGTAAGGAGAATGAATTCCATTAAGGTCTATACAGATGCCTGCACCTGAAGAAGTATTTTTTACACACCACCATTCGTATGGTACTAAAGCTCACTTTCCAGAACCAGAGCAATAACACTGGCAGAAAAGAGCTGGGAGGCGGAGGCTGGCTCTCACCGTGCAGATGGTATTGAGGGCTGTGTCGGCCCCAATGCTGAAGTCTGACCCAGGGACATTGTTGGAAACAGTGGCAGGAATGACCACAAATGGGATGCAGAGCTCATCAAACTGCTTCCTGCCCTCCATCAGCTCCAGGCCCCCTGTGTAAGCCTAAAAAGAGAGCAGCAGTGGCAGACGTGGGAAAAGATGGGAAGGTGGGAGGGAGAAAGGAGGAAACAGTAGGGACACTCACCTCAAAGCCCCCAATGATGACAAGGCCCTGAATGTTAAACTTAGTTATGTTGGCACTGATCTGTTCAAAGTTCTTCTTGGGCAGGGTCCTAATTGACCGGAAGCAGGGAGCAAGGGTGGGAAATTGGGGGCGAGGAAAGATGGAAGGAGAGAAATTAGTTAGAACGTACTTTATTTATAGCTTCTGGACTTGTGCCCTGGTTCTCCCACACACTCTCACACAATTCTGGAATACACAATGGAGCTCTAAATTGTTAGATCTGCTACATGATGTGTGGGTGGGTCTGTCTGTCATCACTGAAGACACTACTGAGTTTGAAGAGTGGTAGGTGTAGGCCCTGATCTAACGAAATGATGCCCACAATCCAGGGCATCTTGAAAGGGTGACTGGGAGGAGATGCTCCCACAACATCACTTACCTTTTAGTGCCAAGTTTGGAACCACCTTGGCCAGTCCAGCCCCCAACATAGCTCCAACCGGCTTCTTCAATCTGCAGGGAAAGGCCACACATTTCTGCATTATGGCTAGAGCTCCAAAAGGGCTGTGTGGGACTGATGCCACTTCTTGAGCACTGACCTCACCCAGTGCCCCTTGGTTGGAAGATGATAACTAGATACTGGCTTTTCCCCATGCACTGAACATGCCCTCCTTACTCATTCAGAAATATTAAGCACCTACTTACGGTAGGCACTGTGCTTTGGGATAGAGAATTAAATAAGACACAATATTTGCAAAGGTTCACTCTAGTGCCCTAAAATTAAATACTCT